CCTGATAATTAAGTTGATAATAAATACTTTATAAATTTATTTCAAAAGTCACATGACTTCAAAGATTTTTTGTTAAAAGTCATCATTTTTGAGCGAATGCCAAAGGCGAAATTTGGTGATGTAGTGCAGAATTGTGGTATAAGTTTCGCACGTCATAGTAGTAATAATGTAACAAACAAAGCGGGGTTAATTGTATATTATCAACCACAGCAACCAATCAATTACGAAATTTATCTATGTAACACCAACCCAAATATATATGTATTTTTTTGATTTGTACTACGACAAAAATTGGCATATTGAATAAAAAAAAAATTACACTCAAAAAAAAAAAAAAATGGCAACGTCAAAAACCAAGACTAATAATAACACCATCACAACCACCACCACCAACAACAACACATCTACATCAAATCATAGTAATAATACAACTGGTGCAGGAGGGAATGGTAATAGTGGCGGAGGCGGTGTAAGTAGTAGTAGCAGTAATAATAATAATTCAGCTTCAAAAAATGGTAATATAACAAATTCAACAGATGCTCTTCCTAAACGTCTAACAAAAGGAAAAGAGCCTGGGAAAGAAGTACCAGTTGTAAGTATTTAATTATGAAATAAAAGAGAGACAATATAATAGGTGCTTGATAAGATTCCATCTTCATTTACCATTACATTACATTAATACAGTTAGATTTCAACACATTTGATATTTCAGTATTACGTAGATATAAAAGAATTCATAAATTAAAGGTTAGAGATTACGCAACAAAAGAAGAATTGGTGGCAGCTGTAACTCGACATTATGCAACACAAACTGTTAAAGAGGTTGATATGATCGCGTCATTTATTTACGCTGTGCAAAATAAAGGTTCGTTCCAACAACAATCATAGTATTTTTTGTTTGTTGTGAGTTTTTTTTAATTAAATGTTATAATATTTTTTTTTTTGTATAGACAACACATTGAAGTTACCGATTCCTTGAAAAATCTATAAATTAATAAATTAAATAAGGATTAATCATTTTAATAACATAATAAATAAAATCATAAATTATATACTGTAAATGCAAAACATTATTTTACACAAAAAATAAAATCCATATATAACAACATCTATCTATATATCATTTCAGCAATTTCTAGATATGAGGTTTTCAATCCCAACCAATTAATCATTTAAACCACGTTTTCTTTCTTTTAATTACTAAGCCTCTAAATGGTTCATTTGGCCCTTGAAGTTTTGGCCTACAATTATAATTAGAAGGCCTCAAAAAATTTCCGGTTACCTTATTATTATTCCTACATAATCGGCAACAGATTTTCCTTTTTAATTTATTTATTGCCTATTTCGTATAACGTAAAATTTGATAAGATTTTTCTATATAGTTTTTTTTTTTTTCTTGAATATTAAAAATTGTTGAAAATGATGAGTTTAAAGCCATCAATACGTTCAATAAAGCCCAAATTCTTTTTGGAATTACGAAAAAGTTTTTCCATTAGCACTATTAGAACTTCACCATATGATGATACTATTAAAAACATGAAACTTACAAAAAACACTAGAGTTGTTTGTCAAGGTTTTACTGGAAAACAAGTAATTAATTGCATTAGTTGACTAACAGTTGATTTTCTTTAATATATTATTATACATCTTAACAATTGATTTGATAGGGAACGTTTCATTCACAACAAGCAATTGATTATGGAACTAATTTAGTTGGCGGAGTAGCACCAAAAAAAGGTGGTCAAAAACATTTGGGAAGACCTGTATTTAATACCATAGCCGAGGTTAAAAAAAAATTTTTCAAAAAAAAATATACATATATTTGATTCTTTATATAATCATATAATCATGTTGAATAAATGTGTTTATGTGTATTTATATATTTTTGATAGGCAGTTAGTGAAGTTAAACCAGATGCTTCTGTGATTTATGTACCCCCACCTTCAGCTGCAAATGCTATTATAGATGCCATCAAGGCAGAAGTTCCTTTGGTGGTAGCAATTACGGAAGGAATTCCACAGCAAGATATGGTTCGAGTACGTAATAACTGTAAAAGTATAATTGGATTTTTTTTTTTTTCTTATTTAAATTTTAATTTTTAAAAAAATTTTTTATAGGTTGTTAAAGCTTTAAAAAACCAAAATAAAACACGTCTTATTGGTCCTAATTGTCCTGGAATCATAGTGCCAGATGCTTGTAAAATTGGTATTATGCCCGGACATATCCACAAAAAAGGAGTTGTCGGAATTGTTTCAAGATCCGGTACGTTAACATATGAAGCAGTTAATCAAACCACTCAGGCGAATCTTGGACAAACTTTATGTATTGGAATTGGTGGTGATCCATTTAATGGAACAAATTTTGTAGATTGTTTAAAATTGTTTTTAGAAGACGAAGAAACAAAAGGTTTTATTTCTTTTTAAACCCCCCCCCCCCCCCGAATGAAAATTCAAATTAAATGATATCATCATCATCATCATCATTATTGTTATTTGTAATAGGTATTATATTGATTGGAGAAATTGGCGGTACTGCTGAAGAAGAAGCAGCAGAATTTTTAAAACAACATAATTTGTCTCAATCTCAACCAAAACCTGTAGTTTCTTTCATTGCTGGTTTAACTGCACCGCCAGGACGTCGTATGGGTCATGCAGGAGCTATAATTGCTGGTGGTAAAGGCTCTGCAACTGATAAAATTAAAGCATTGGAAAGTGCTGGTGTTATTATTTCAAAAAGTCCTGCTAAACTTGGAGTTCATTTAAGAGAAGTTAGTGGTTAAAAAATTTTTTTTTATATAATAGTAATATTATTATTATTATAATATCACTAATATATATATATGTGTGTGTGTAATTTTTTTTGGTAGGAAATGGAAAAAGCAGGCTTGATTTAAAATATTATAAACAAACAAATATATTATTATATTATAAGGATTATTACTATCATTTAACAACACATTCATCATCATACAATTATTTAATTCATTTATAAGAATTTTAAATATATTTATTTACAGTTTTTGCACATTGTCAGTTGTAATAATGTCTCTGAGGAAATCAACTGCTAAGGATTCTATGACCAGAATAATATATTTGGTAAAAATGTATTGGATCAATTACCAAGACTTAATTTTTTAACAATGTACAATGTTATATATAAGAATTTTATTTTATTTTCAAAATAAATAAATGAGCTTTATATAAATGTGAATTTCAGTTTTTGTATTTTCAACAAAATCACTAATAATAATAATAATAGTAGTAGTAGTAGTTCGTAGTTTAATTATAATCATCTTATCATTTACTATTAATCATTAGCATCAATTATATATTTCTTTCTTTTCTTTTCCCAGTATCTTTACTGGTAATAGTGATATATGATAATTTTCCTTCAGATTGAACAAAATCCAAACCATAAATTTCTTCACCAAAAAATTTTTTTTAAAGTCAAATGGATGATTACGAGTATCTCGTACTAATTTAATTGGCGGCTTAGATGATGTTGTACATAAGCTCGCTCCTTTTGTTGTGCGAATAACTTGATTCGTTCTTTTCTGATAGAATAATGATTAATTGAGTTTTGAAATAACAATGAAAAAGATGTAGATTTTTTGGAAGAGATTATGTTTTCGCTAAGCATTAAATTCATTGCAACTATAATTCGTTGGGTGCTCGTTTTGAAGAGTTTTAGTAATATATAAAACATTTGCAAACATACATGTCCGATATAAACATCTTGATTTCAATGAATTTTTATTTAATCTCTATCAACTGTTAAAAAAGTTTGTTTAAAAATTTTAATTTTTTAATGAATTATAAAGTTCTTTTCCTCTTCCAAATAAGGTCCGTAATCACTGAATAGTTTTATTATAAAAGGTTTAGGTCCCCTCCAATTCTTCATTAAATTCCATCAAAAAGAATTATATAGTCATAAAAATTATGGTATTTAAATTTAACTGCTCATGTACTTTCTTGCTATAAAAAAACAGAGATTTTGCAATCTTGAGTTTCAATTGGTATTCTTAAAATATTCCATCCTTTGGTAAACCACTGACTGTTGGTTTTTTTTAAAGATGTTTTCCGTGGATTCTTATGAAATATAACAATTCCAATAGAAATGGCCATAGCTTCAAGGTTTGGAAGTAAAACATTTTATATTTTGTCCTTGGCTAAATCATTGCGAGGACCAATTAGCGATAAAATCTCCAAGTTTTGAAATGTTGGCATTAAAAGAATCCACGTTAACTTTCTCATGACTTACATAATAAGTTGATGTTTTTTTTAAAAATATTCTAAAAAAATTAAATCAAAATTGCATGTAATAATTTTTTAATTGATTTTGTGCTATATATGAGATTAATTGCACCAGACCATTATCATAAATGATTGTTAGATCTTGAACATTTCTACAAAAAATATTTGTTAATTAAAAAAGTGACAAGTTAACTGATAAAGATTCTGAAAGCAAGGATCAAATATATGATAATTAATCACTTCACTCCTGTATATGTAATTTGAATCAGTTGCAAGTTTCTCGAGTAATGAATAATCTAAAAAAAAAAAGTTGTTTCCAGACAATCAAGTTTGCCAGATTCTATCAATGAACTCGTTTGATCAAAAATCCAATTCAGCCACAAATTTATAAAGACGATTTCTTCAATAATTTAAAAATTAATCCAATCCCATGTTCCACCAAGAAGCTCTTGTCTTCAACCAATAAACAATTAATTAATATTTAAATACTATTTTCAGGATTAAATTGACCTCTCCATGATGTTGGAATATTGAAATTGTGCCATTTTTTTATTAACTAGAATGCAAGAGTATAATGTTTTATAATCATCATCATCTTCAATATAATTAATATTGGTATTGTGGCAATACATTTTTTAAAAGCGGATTTTAAAATTAAGAGTTTATTATTGGAAGGAAATCATCGATAGATAATCTACGAAAAATAAAAATCGATAAAAATTTTTTTGTAAAATTAATATTTTTAATATGCTTTCAAAATTATATAGAAAATCAACATCTCAAACGATTTTTTTGTCATTACCATTAAAATTAAAAAAAAAATCATTATTTTATATTTTACCAAGACCTTCAAATTGCACTCTTTATCATCAACAAAATCAAATGTATTCATCATATAATAGTAGATTTAGTAAAAAGTAATAAATAAATCAATCAATAAATCAATCAATTGATAATTATGATTATTTTAATATTAATTAATTGATTATTTTAGGTTAGAAAAAAAATTATCGATTTTGGATCAAAATATTCAAAGATTACAAGAAAAAATATCAACTTCTGATAAACAAAATATTTCAAAGGTTTTTTTTGCTATTTATTATTAATTAAATTTTTTCTTACATTAGACAATACATATTAATATTTTATTTAGACGGAATATATTCCGTTTTCAAATATTGATGACTATGAAAGTATATATCGATCAATTACTTCTTCAAATAAAATTTCATTATTGGGAAAAAGAAATAACGATGAAGAAAATGAAATTTTATCGGAATCCATAACAAAACCAGAGTCATCATCTTCAACATTAATAATAACAAAAAGAAATAATCCAGAAGATATCATCAATCAATCATCCATTGATTTTGATCAGATTTTCAATCTAAAAACAACTATAAAGAAAAAATCTTTAAAAGAAGAAGATGAAAATTATTTATTAAACCAAAATAAGACAATAATAAAGAACAATGATGTAAATATACACAAGTGCATTTTTTGAAAGAATAATATTTAAAATAGCATTTTTAATATCAATAATAATTATTTAGGCAATGTTCAAAAATCTATATGATCCAGAGATTATAAAAAGACTGGAAAAGGTTAGATAAAACAATGCCAAAAATTGATTTTTAACAACAATCAATCACTTATTTCTTTTTTTATTTAGAAATCTGCACTGTCACCAGATCTTATAATATATGATCACCTTTTAAATCATTATTCAAATATCGGAAATCTAGATCGAGCGATTGAAATTTTTGATCAAATTGAAAAAAGTATTATATTTATTAAATTTATTTGAATACAGATAGTATTTATAAAGTTAATGTATATATCATTTTTTTTATTTAGATGGATTTGTGCCAACATTATACAGTTACGCGAATTTAATTAAAGCTTATGCATATCATAGAAGAATCAATGATGTATTTGAAGTTTTCAATAAATTAAAGATGGGGAATTTGATACCAAATCAGGTTAGAGAATTTTTTAATATTATGTGAGATAGAAGAAGAAATCATGTTTTAATATTAATGTGATTTGCGCGTGTTTTAATAATGATGATAATAATAAGCCTATTTATAGTATTCTAATTAAATGTTGTATTGATAATAATGAATTAAAACGTGCATGGATTATATTTGAACATATGCGTTTGGAAGTTTGTCAACCTGATGAAATGACCTACAGTTTAATGATTCATGCTTGTGCAAAGGTAATTAATAATAGTTAATCATTAGTTATACGATAATGATAATTACTATTATTCTCCTTCCTTCCTTCGTTCCTCCCTTCCTTATTAATGGAATTATTGTTTTATTAATATATCAAAAAAGGAAAAAAACGCAGAAAAAGCCTTTGATTTATACAAAGAAATGTTAGAACAAGGACTAAAACTTACTGGAATTACATATAATTCATTAATTGATGCTTGTTCGAAACGAAAAGATATCTTTTTTTATAAAGAAAAAAATTATATACAATTTGAATACAAGTATTATTATTTTTAACTTATGCTTATTAAAATAAAATACATTATTATAGAAAGGCATTTGATTTAGTTCAAGAAATGAAAGAACATGGATGCTCGCCTGATCTGATTACATATAATTCTTTAATGTATGCATGTGCTATAAATAAAGATTTAAAATTAGCTAGGAATTTATTTATATCAATAATTCAAAGGTAATTATTATTACTATGGTAAGCATTATTATTAATATTATTAAACATTTTTTTAAAACAAATATTTAATATTATTTTATTTTATTAGCTCAAAGGAAGATCCATCATTAGCACCTGACGAATTAACTTTTTCAAATTTATTCTGGACTTATTCATCTTATCAAGAAGAATTAAACAACAGTAACAATTCTATTGAAAATTCCAATATCATTGGCAATAACAAAAATGAGAATGTTTTAACAGGAGAGGATGATAATGATGGTGATAATGATGATGATAGTTTATCAAAATCTGAAATTACATCTGAAAACACAATGAAAAAATTTAAAAATAATAAAATATTGGTTATTGGAAAAGATGAGTATCCAATATTCTCCACTATTCCAACATCACATTTACAAACTCGTTTAGAAGCCGAAATGATATTTAATTATTTGTTGTCATCATTATCAGCAAAACAAATACTGTCCAACAACAACAACAACAACAATAATACAAAATTAACGTCTCGATTAATTTGTTCTTATATGAGTTTAATTGAGAACAAATCAAGTTTTGATAGTTTATTAAAGATTTATAAAGAAATAATACCAAAACATCAAGTGGAGTTAAGTAGTTGGATATTTTTACATATGTTAAATGCTTGTTACAAATATAATCGATTCTCTTTGGCATGGGATGTCTGGAACGATTTTCTTGGATGGTCACGGGAAGAAAGCGAGAGAATCTTTAAAGATTTTAAAAACGTTTACCAACAAAAAATGGAATTTGAAAGAATTGGTCTTACTGAGGAATTAGAGTACAAATTGTATACTATAATGATTATTACTTCAGCAAAGCAAGTATTTTGATAATTTTATTATGAATTATTATTATGGATTTTTAATTAATTTAATTAATTTTTTAATAATAATAGAAGCAACAATATTCATAGTAGTATGAAATTAATAAAAAATTTATCAAATAAACATAAACCAAAACTAAAAGACTTTAGATTATTGTTAACCAGAATTAAAGAATCAGATGAATTAGGTGATGAAACTGCAAAAAGGTATAAAAGAGAAGTGATTACATTATGTAACATTAATGATAAAGAAAATCGATCAAATATAGTAAGAAATAGATTAAATAAAAAATGGAATCATCCAAAAAATTTGTATTATAATAGCAATAAATTCAATAATAAAAATTTATCAAGGAAATTTATTAATTATTAATTATTAAAGGGGAAGGGGAGGATAATTTGGTTTTATTTGTAATTTATAACAAGTCTACAACTGGGAATGTGATGTGAGCTGTGCTACGCGAGAACAAAAATTCATTTACATCCCATAAATTTTCTATTGGATTTAAATCTGGACTCTGGGGTGGCCAAGGAAGTGAAAGAACATCATTATCTTGTTTAAATTGTTCAACCCTGCTCTGTGGGGTTGAGCATTATCATCCTGAAATACCCATAACTTTGAAGAGTCCAAAGATTGAATAAAAGGTAATAAGTGATCTTTGAGTATTTTTCATATGCTTCACCTGTAATGCTAACATCAACTTGTATTAGTGGACCAATTTGATCTCGAGTAAAGCATCCCATACCATTATTCCAGGTGAGTGTGCAACTTTAGGTACTAAACAATCAATATTATATTTCTCATGGGGTTGTCTCCAAACCCAGTTTTGGGAGTCATTGTCAAATACATTGAATCTTGATTCATCACTGAATATGACTTCATTCCATTCTAACCAATCTTTACAACATCTCACAAAATGACAACGTTTTTTTCTATTTATTTCTGATATTAAAGGCTTTCTTTTTCCTGCACGCGCATAATAACCCATTTCATGTAAATTTCTTTGCACTGTTCTTGTACTTACAGGCCTTGAGAGAACCTTATTTATTTCGTTTTTATAATCTTCTACTGCATTTTTCCTATTTTTTCGGACAACTTTCACTAAAGCACATTTATCTCTATCTGAAAGTGACTTGGGTCTCCCACTTCTCTTATCATTTTCAATCATTTTCAACAGTTCCTTCTTTATTGTATTTTTCTATAATATTATATATTGTTCTCGATGGTATCCCAAGTCTTTTGCTTATTTCTGTCTTGCTTACGTCACATTTCCAAGCACCAATTACCTCTGCGCGCTCAACAACAGATAATTCTCTAATTTTAGTAATCTGATTTAAATATATGATTTTTTGCGAAAAACAACGTGAAGATCTAAAAACAAATTTGATGAATGTTTGTATTACCTATTATTCTACCAATATATATATATATATATATCAAATCATGGCGCACATTTTCTATTATGCTATCTAGACATGTTAAAACTTGGCAATTAGGTTTTGTTATCAATTGAAAATTTCGAAAATTTTTTACTTTGACTTTTAAAGCTAATAAAATTATCAATTGTAAACAAAACATTATAAAACTCAAGTATGTTATGGGAATCACTATGAAAATTGATTTTCGCTTAATACACAAAAGTGATTGTGATAATAAAATTTTGAGTTATTTTTATTACACTTTGTTCAATTATTTCCGGCGATCTGCAAAATTGCCAATACTTTTGGCAGGTGTGTATTTTTTAATATCACGTCGACATCAAAGTTAAGTTGGGTTTGGATTGCGCCTCCTTCGTCGCAAAAATACATCACTCAGGCCAAGACAATAGTCTATTTTATTAAATTCGAAACATATAAACAGGACCAATGTAGAGACATTCCTCTCGGGTCATGGAATTCAACCTTTTACATTCAGCCATGACGTCCTCCTGTCCATTTTCAAGTAATCAAGATAAATTCAAGTTTACACATTCAAACCATAAAATCATTTGTTGTTATACAACGTTATACAAAATTGTAATTCATGAAAAATACACTGCGCCGAGTTCTTCAGATCAATGGGAGCTTTATTTCCTGGTGGCCATTGCCACACATAACTTCTTTATCATGTGTATTTGCTTTAAGAAAAATTTTGAAGTTGTTAACAAAACCGAAAATAACCTCAACCTTAAATGTAAAAATTTGTTTAGCACGTCCAAAAGTAAAAATAAATGCCCAAATAATTACATTATTATAAATATTTACACAGTTTTGTCCGCTTAGATATGTCTTTTATAGATAATAAATAAAATAGATATTAAAATTTTCTATTCATACATAAATAATGATTAGAATAATTGGATAATATAAGCAAGCAACAATAATAATTAAATTAAAGGTGTTTTATCTCTGGTTTTATTCATTTAATTACTTATCACGATGATATTATTAATATATAAAAACAAAAGAGAAATTTATATACATAAATAAATAATTAATAAAACTATTGAATGATTGATAAAACGTTCACCAGTAGATATATGAAGCTTGCATTGCAAGTTTCATAGATCTTTCCTTTAACACTTACTTCAATCACTCCCTATACAAACTAAACTATTGATAAACGTTCGTATTATTAAATAAAATATAGACTATACATTGTAACAAACTAAGGTTTGTTATACTCACTCATTCATTCCTCGTTAATTCTGGTAATCACAATCCATCATTTCAAATATGTAATGAGATCTAATTATCTAATTTCATATTTGTTTTTTGTAACTGAGATTAAAAAATAAAAGCAAATCTGTATTCATTAATTATAAAACAAAAGTGAAAATTTTTACCATAAAATGATTCGCATTAAAATTAGTTGCATCATTATTTGACTCATTTTGGTTTTTTGGCCTATTTGTGATATGTTGAAGGCATAGTTATATCAGAGTGATAAGGTTTAAAATAACTTGATGGGTAAAAGTTTGTTCGTTTATTTGAAAGACTTGAATATTTCCATGGAACAAAATCTGTCTGATCTTAATCTTTTATTATCATCCTCAAAAACAATGATTTGTTGTCATCGTTTGCTACTAATATTATTGTTTAATGTTTCTATAATAATAATGCTTTCTCATAACAACTACTGATTGATTGATTGTGCCCTTCGTATATTACGTATGTAACCAATCAAATCAATTAACAAATTTTATCTTCTTTTTTAAAATGTTTCCTTCTTTTAAATAAAAGAGAGGTCATGTCACGAAGGGTCAATACACCCAGCATGAGCCACCAGCAAGAGTTCCGCTCTCTCACTTGCTGGGCTTTAATAACACATTTAAGTGAGTCACATTGACTTGATTTATAAATGTTCAAGGTGATGCCTAATATTGTCCATATAAGTTCAAGGGTTTTCAATGCTGCTCTATAGTCAACTATTTTTTGGAAATTTGTTAAGTATTTGACACCTAATGCAGAAGCAATATTATATATGCCATATCCTGAAAAAATGGTTATTAAAACACTGCACATATCAAGATTAGTATGCCATTGCCCCAATATAATTCTTGAATTTGGATTTATGTATTCTTTGTATTTCTCTAACCTTTGGAATATTGATTGATCTGATGCAATATCTAAATACTTCTTAAATTCTAAACTTTGTGTAATATTTTCCAATTCTAAACTGACATTTCATCATCCCATAATATATTTCACAAGATTCATATATCTCTTCATCATCATTTTGTTTACCTCCTAGATCTAAGATTGTAATGTTCGGAGGCAAATTGTTGAATGATTTTGGGATAAGTGAAATTAACGTTTTATTTATGTCAGATTCATTGAAATTGTTGTTGAATGTTAAATCAGGTAAAAAATCACAATCTAATAATGATTTGAATACATATCCAGATATATCTAAAAACTTCAAAGAGAGTGAATTATGACCAAATATCTTCTGTTTATTGTTTGAAATCATTAAAGACCTTGGAGGTACAATCACATAAATAGGTATTGGTGAAAAAGCATTTGTAGTGTGGCATGAATGGTATTCCTAGGAACATCAAAAATGTTTCCATATTTGTATGTCTTTTGAAAAAAATCGATATTATAAATTATACCAAGGTTCAAAGTTTTTGACCATTTGAAAGATCATGTTTGGAAACTGCTTGGTGCATTCTTTTGATTTCCAAGAGTCCTTCATATTTTGGGTATGAGGAATAACATATACAACTCTAAGGATTGCATGCAGAGAAGATAGAATGTTTGGATACCTACAAAGACTTGCTAATATATTATTAAACCAAAAATTCATCTTTCTAAATGTAATTGTCATAATTATTGATGACAAAAATGTGATTATCTTTATCAACTTCATTGGTCTAATTCTTCATATTTAAAACTCTCGATTCCAGATTTTAATGAATTTTTTTTCTTTTGCCTTTGTAAGTTGTTATTGGTGTTGTTGTAAAATGAATCCAATCATACCATTAAAGAATTCTTTAATAGTATCTGGGAAGGCCTTGTGATATTCGATTAGGGAACTGGGATTAGTTAAACATTGTTTATTTTTTTTTAACCAATTCTCTAGAATGATATAATGATTTCCCCAGACTTTGACTGAATTGAAAACATTCACCAGGGTTGACAGGATTTTTTTTCTGTTTTGAAATTAATTTATCAGCTTTACCAAGTTTTAACGAAGCTTTGATGATCAGAGGATTCAATAAATTTAGAGTGTGGTTATTCAAAAAAAATAAATCATCATTTTTGTTTGAATAAACATTTAAAACAGACACAAGTTTTGATAAAACATTCTCTTTTAATGCATGGTTATCTGATAAAGAAATACCCATAATCCAAGTTGCCAAACTTTGTAATGATTTTGTAATATCATTGCTATGACTACATTTTTTATTTGAGCCTTTTCCTGTAGGTATATGAACATGACCTCCATTCTTTTCAAAGCATGAAAGACATATATAACATGGATGATAGGTAATGTGATCCTCAGATAATTTTTCAAATACTGGCGAAATATTATTATCCATCACTGAGCATGTATGCTGAGTTATGCATGGTACAATCAAATCTCTTCCAAGTAAATTCCATGTATGTACTGTGCAACTTTTTCCACATGATAATACATAAAAATTGTGGCCACAAAATAAGCATTGTCTTGATGTGATAATTGAATCTTCACAATTTCTGATTTTTTTAATGCCTGTTGGATGTAAATTAGGAGATCTGTCTAAGTGAAAGTGTACATCACACACACCCAACAAACCTGGCAAAATCCTTGTTTATTTTATATAATCAGAATTTATTTCCCAACAACCTGATGTCTGCCACAACCTTTTGTAGCTTTTTCATTCACATGCATATGTTAGACCATCTGATTCATTATAACACATTACTGCACATTTTTGATGAAAATTGCAACTATCAGTTGTTTTATCAATCATGATTTCAAATTCATCATCACTAATATTATCTTCAGAATTTTTGTTATTTTCCTTCTTCCAATTCACAATCATCATCATCATCATATATACTTTCATCATCTGCAATTTTTTCCACATCTCCCACATCTCTTGCCAATTCAAATAAATTTAAAAACTTGTATTATTTTTGTTAAAATAAACATTATCATCATTATCTATTTCACAAAATTCACCCTCACTGTCATCTGACTCTTCTAAAACATCTTCAATCACTGAAGGTGTAGATGGAATGGATTCAAATGTATCAACCTCTGGCAATTTTAAATTTTGCATATTTAATATATTGTGGTAACTCATTTTTATATCATGTATAAACTAACAAACCAAAAAAAAAGAATTATAAAATTTGTGAAAATATCAATATTAATATAAAAAACATCAGTTTCAAGTATTATACAAGAGAGATTAAATAAAAATTTAGACATATTTAAATTGCTATTATGTTATCTAATGATCTAATGAATATTGACAACACTATTAATGTTAAATACTAATATAATACTAATATTATGCTAATGCTAATGCTAATGCTAATAATGCTAACATTTGAATTAAATGTAAAAAAATTTGTCTCAGAATTATGTATGGAGGGATGGAGGAAAATGGAAAATGGAAAATGAAAATGGCATATATACAGTTTCTTAAATAGAAAAGATCTTATCTATTGCTGTTGTTATGTAGTGTTCAAACAAGATCATACTCCACAGAAGCATGGGTATTCGGGAGAAATAGGTTTAAAGTATACTCTAAAACTAAAACTGCATTTTTAAATAACTTTTGATACCTTTTGTTCTCGAAATGATATGGTTAGCTTATGGAAGAACAAATTTTTCATGCAAAAACAAATATAAATTTTTTCGAAATTGATCATCCGTTTTTCGTGACACACTATATTAATATATTTAATATTTAAATTTATTATTTGCGTTCAAACAAGATCATACTCCACAGAGGCATGAGTATTCGGGAGAAATAGGTTTAAAGTATACTCTAAAACTAAAACTACATTTTTAAACAATTTCAGCACCCTTTGTTCTTAAAATATTATAGTTAGCTTATGAGGGAACAATTTTTTCATTAAAATTGATATTTGCCAATATTTTTTCGTGACACATACCACGACTAATGACACAATACTGCCATTCAACCATCATCCCCATTTTTGTATATGCACGCGCGGAATCATTTGAATTCAATGAATTTTATTTATAATTAAGTCGTGTGATTGACGCGATAAATTTTATTTTTTTTAAAATCAAAATCGATAAAAAAAACGTCATCATCCGCGGCAGCCATCATCACCATGAGGAACAACCCACACCAAGAGGAAACATAATAGGAGTAACAACCACGATGGATACGGTAAAGGTGGTAGTGGTGACAATGACAGAACGATGTATTATTTTTTTTTGTTACAAACATATTTAACTTACACTAGATTAACAGTGGAAGGGGTAGATTAAATTCTAATATATCACAATATTTAAAATTGTATTTTTAATTTTATATTATATTCTTCATTTTTACGATTCACACTTGCTTAGGATATTTTTCATTTTCACGCATATATTACTTTCTCTGTTGATTGATAATAATACCATTTTGTAATATATTATATATAAATATATATAAAAAAAAAATATTAATTATCATTATATATTGGATTGCATCTATTATAATAATAATTAAAAAGTTTTGTCGCAAAGGAATATAAATTCGGCCTTTTATAGCATAGAATAGTAGAAATATAAAATTGTTTGAACAAAACTCAAATAAAAAAACAATGTTTACTTTTAATTCTTTGAATTTATTTGATTATATCTTTATGTCAAGATCGTGATAACATTTAAATAAAGAAATACTAAAAAGTATTTATTGTAAAAATTTTTTGAATATTCGTCTTTATACGAATGTTAGTCGCAATTAATCTGAATGATTGTTAATGTTGAATAACAAAATAACAGTAAATTCCATCATAACCACTGTTTATATTAATCAAACCTATAATCACATTAAAATGCTTATATTTTGATGAGTATTCACGCAAATTTTCATCTTTTAATACTTTTTTTAGAGAAATAAAATAACTGACGTGTGATGTCGATCATCCCAAATTTATCAGTTCCGCTCCCATCTGCAATAGTTTTGTGAAGGGATTCATAATTTGTCTGAGCGACATACCGAGTGCAACCTCTAGATATGGCATTCAAGTATAGTTTTTCGATTGATTTAATATTTAGTAAAGGATTAAATGCTCCGAGTGCAAATACTTTGATACTACAATGTAGAAAATATTCAAGTATAACGCCTTTTGGACAAGGATCGTCAATTTGACAGGAAAAATCATGAATATTATTATTATTAAGGAATATCTTCAAGCAATAATTGTTTGAAAAATTATGGTTTGGGTCGTAAATCAATTATATCATTTTTGTGATGATATTTTACATATTCAAGAATTTTGCTCGTTGTTAATGAGCATTCCTGAAGTGATAGAATATTAATACTAGAATAGAAGTGAATTTTATTATAATCATATATTCACTTCCCCGATAATGTTGTCTGAATTATAGATTTGATTTTGTATATTGATAACATCATTACTGGTTATCTGTTGATTTGAATTAATCTCACCGCTCAAATTAATCAAAAAGTAATGATGGCTTATTAATTGATCGAACGATTTTATCCCAGTATAATGATAACATAGATTTGTCTTCTCGCGAGCATGGAAGAAGATAGCATAAAAAATCAAGTACAAGTTAAAAAAAGACCAGCAAGAAAAAAAAACGGAGGAAAAAAAAGTTTAAGACCTTGGAAAGAAAGAAAATAAATGCATCAATTGATCTGCAAAGTCAATTTTTGCCAAAAATCAAGTTTAATAGAAAGCTCAACATCGAACATGCCATGTTGACTTCTCTCTCTCTATTATCACATCCATGGTCAATAGAGACTTCATTCGTAACCATTTCGTAAAACTGCAAATTCCTTTTTATAGATAAAATTACCATAAAGACATTAATCAAATCAATAATTAATCCTGAAATAGAGATTGAATGTTGCACTGTCGTTTTCCAAAATAAAAAATACCCCTCACTCAATAAATTTCTATGATAACTAAAACCAATAGAAATGAATGGGAGCTATTAGGTTGCCTGCACCATAGCAAAAAAATTAAAAAAACTTGTGATATTATCTATTACGTCACAAATATCATATAATGGTTTTACAAGCATTCTCAAAACACAAGATTTTCAGGGATAAAAGGGGGAAACCTTAATTATGTATGCTACAGAATAATAAGTAATAGTAATAATAATAAAGAATTTATTTAATTTAACGAATTCCTTTTTTTCTTTTTTTTTTTTTTCAATTATTTAATTATTTAATTAATTATTTATTTATTACTAATTATTCTATCAATTATTTAAAAAATTTTCCTTAAAAAAATCAAGTAATTAATGCCGAAACCATACAATAAACCTCAAAGGCGTAGATCTTTTATTGGACAATGGGACAAAACTACCAAAGTGGTGAATGTCAAACAAAAATACTATGTTAATGAGGTTGATAAATACACAGATATTCAAAAAGCAACTTTTACTCGCTGGGTCAACATTCAGTTACGCTCGATTCATCAATATGATTTTTTAAACTCCGACAATAATTCATCGAATCCAAATGAAAGTTTAGCAAATAGACTTCCTGAAATTAAAGCAATTGATAAAGATTTCAGAGACGGTACTAGATTGATTGAATTATTGCAGGTTCTTTATGAGGGTGACTCAGAATTACCGAAATGCGAACGTGGTGGTAATACAAGACACCATCATATTGCAAATGTTAGTAATGTTTTAGACTTTTTGAGAAATCGTTTGGATGAGTCGGGTCTGGCTGCTTTACAAGCCATCGGACCCGTTGATATTGTTGACGGTAATGTGAAATTGACATTAGGTTTAATTTGGCTGGTTATTTCAAGGTTTCATCAAATGGTCAGTGTATTTGAAGAAGTAGTAACCGAAGAAGAGTTAGCAACTGCCAAAGCTCAATCTAGACTTTTAAATGGCGAGATTGATGATGATGATGATGATGGCGGTAATAAAAAAAATAAAAAAAATCATAATTCTAATATGTGGTTTAATTTAGATATTGAATCAATTGAATCACAAATCGATAAATTAGAATTAATTATCAAGATTAATGATGATGGTGATGGTGATGGTGTTAACAATAACGGGGATGGTGATAACAATAATGGGGATGGTGATATTAAAGATGAAGTTGAAAACATGAATAGAAATAGTACTATCCTGGAAGAAGAAGAAGAAGATCATGAAAAAATTGAACAAATTAATAAAGAAACTTTTTCGATAGAACAAAAAGAAGGTGGAGAAGAAGAAGAAAAATCAGTTGATAACAATATTAATAATTATCTTGGGAAAAAACCAGTTAATAATAACAAAAATTCAATTCGTTATTCAAGAATGTTTCTGAATCCAAGACAAAGTCTCAATGTTGTAAACAATTATAATAAACGAATGTCATTACCAGCAACAGCCAATAAAGATTTTCAACTTCCACCTAAAAGATTTCGTACATTACGTTTAAATGATTCTTCTATGTCATTAAGTTCTTCATCTGGTTTATTGTTTTGGTTGAACATGCAACTTATTGATTATGCATCCGTATTACCTTCAAGCTCTTATCCAATAGAAGATTTTACAGGTTTAAATGATGGTGTATTATTATCTGCATTGATTCATCATAAAAATATGGAATGGTTTGAAGATTTTGATTTATTTATTAAAGATCTACCTAATAAAGATGCATCATCAACAACAAAATTAGATGAAGTCGAAACAGCAGCAAAAGAAAGATTACAAAAATGTTTTAACATAATAGAGGAAAAACTAGATGTGAAACCACCCAAATCTTTGGTTTCCATATTAATTGAAAATAATAATCAATTGAGTAAAGAACAGATTAAAAGTAGAACTGGTATTGCGTGGAGTGTATACATTTCAGAGGTATTTATTTCAATGTCAAATAAAAATAAAAAGAGAACAAACAAAGATCAAGCTAGATTATCAATAATCACACAAAAGCAGCAACAACAACAACAACAACAACAACAACAACAACAACAACAACAACAACAACAACAACAAGAACAACAACAAGAAGTTGATGACGATAATAATAATATTTCAAGAGAATATTCTGAATCTTCAACAGCAATAGATCTGGTTTCGCCACAATCTACTTTATTTGATGAATCATTAGAAGAAGGGTATTCTCCATATTCAACTACGAAAAGTTTCTCAATGGCATGTTCACCGTTATCACCGTTACCACCGTGGTCGCCTAAAAGATTATTAGTGACCGCCATAGTGGATTGGGCTGTAAATTGGATTGTTGGTGATAATATTCATGATGATGATTATTATGGTGATTATTACGACAACGATGATGATGAGTATTATGAAGATGAAGATGGCGAAATTCATGGTTATGGTGGTGATAATGAAAATGGTAATGCTAAATATGATCGACGCGAAATGAAAACTTATAAAGCTACTAACAGTAGTGGTGATTATGGTAATGATAATAGGAATTTAAATGGTACTTGGAATATACAAAACGTTGATGAATGGAAAAAAAATTATAAAAAATTAAATAATAATAATAATAATAACAATAACAATAACAACAGTGGCAAAAATGACAAAAATAATGATAATGATGATAACTCACCATTAGAATTGTTGACAAATGTACATCAATCTAAACTTTACATGAACTGGATTTAAATATTTATTATTTATTTGTGTTATATTTTTGACTTGATAATTTTATTATTTTAGAATATTAATTTGTATTATTATATATTATTTATATTATTTATTTATCTATTTGGTTTCGGATCAAAGTTAAGTATAACTTAAACAACTTTAACAATTTGAGATTCTTTCTTTTGCAACCAACTATTTCACAATGTTTTATTACTGTTACAATTTTTCATTTTTCTTTAATCACTATTTCGCAATCCTTCAACTTGTTCTTCCATTTATGACAAATATATAGAACTTGTCGAATATCAGCATTTGTGACATGTACATTCTTTCAAAAAAAGAATAATATTGTTTGTTGCCTTATTCTCCATTAACATTAAACAACATTGATAGGAGTTTATTGATCTATAAATTTAAATGATCTTTTGAAATTCGAAATTAAGTAAAATTGTCAATGATGTTTGATCAATTCAATAAATTGATCAAAACTACAACATTAGCCATAATAATAATAATAGTGATGGTTGTGATAATAATATTGGTGTGGTGCCAACCCTGTTATCTGCAATCTCAAATTATTCCTTGCTTCCTCCAGTGGAATTGAAGTTAGGAGAAATTTCAGTTGAATTGACTGACATTCATTAGAAAACCATTTGATAATATGATTGTATATCCAATTTAGAATTAACAACAAAGAGAGTACACTGTTTCTCAATCTTTAGATTGGTTTTCAAAGTTCTACTTTGCCTCTCTCAAATGCTATAGGACAATATATGGTCTAATAATAGTATTGACAAAAAAATAAAGGACTTAAAAGTTGAATTGGATAAAGGGCATAATATGATAGTTGGTGAGTATAATAAAAAGAGATCCATATATGAATATTTGAAATCTGTTGAAAAGAACAATGGTAACAAAGTAAAATCAAGTTTGGAAGTAGCAAAATTGGTGTATGTTGATGGTGGTCCTTGGAAGGCATGTCAAATTCATAAGATTACTAATTACTGGTTAAGGTATAATAAACTTCCACTATCAAATAAAGGTAAACATAAAACAATTAGACTTGTAGATGATGAGGATATTGCAGAAAAGTGTCAAAGCTGGGTGCGTCAACAGAATTTCAATGTCACTGCTCCTAAATTTAAAGAATATATAGAACAAGATTTATTGCCAAATATTGGAATTTCCAAGAAAAAGATAATATCTTTGACAGCAGCAAGCTGTTGGCTTAATATTTTAGGATATTCATATCAAAGATATCATCTAGGCATTTATTATGATGGTCATGAACAGTGTTGTGATCCGAAACTCTGAGTTTAGGGAAAACCCGAAACAGAAACTAACAGAAACCACCTGAAACTAGTTTAGGTTAGTAGTTTATGTTTATGTTTAGGTTTAGTTTTAGTTTTCTGCTTAGTGTAAGTTCATTTCCAAAATGTTTCGGGAAGCCAAAAGAGTTTCTGGTCACAAGATAGGTCATGAACATGATGATGTTGTTCAGTATTGTGAGATAGTAAAATGAGGACCGATAGAGAGGTCCCACGTTGCCGATCCAACCAAACCAAATTACTACGGAAGTCATGTGAAAATTAAATCATTTCTATTTTTATTTTTAACGTTATATTTTGTGAAATACTGTGCCTAGGGTTTTTATTCATGAATATCATGAATATCATTAAGGGGGTTACACACTATTAAAACAGCAAAAAATCCCTTAAAAACATGAGTTGATCACTTGATTTTAATAGTGTGTGACCCTGTGTGACCCCCTTATGATATTCATGAATACAAACCCTACATTCTTTTTACCATTATTATAAGCATTTCATCCAATTTCCTTTTTCGTGAAGCCTTATCAATCCATCGTTTAATTATTTCATTATCAACATTTTCCTTGCTGGCAAAGGCTTCTTCATAATTTCTGCCTATTGTCAAACAAAATAAAAATTCAGCTTATGTTTTTTGTAAAGTCAAATTGTTGTGTTCTCACAACTAACTTACCAAAACAAATGATAACTTCACAAGCTAAGATAGCAACATCTTGGAGTGCATGGTCACTCCAATGACCTTTTTCATCAATCATTATTCCATGAGCCAATTTATTTCTTTAAAATGAGTTAGTAACTCAGTGGGATTAGCCTTATATTGACCATGGAATACAGATTCTTTTAAGAAAATGTTGATGTTTTCTAGGATAAAGTTTAGCATGCATAGTAGATCTGCATTACAAAAGTCTCTGCTAATAGGAGAACATTGTTTAGCCACAAATGCTTTAACAGTTTCTAAAGGAATAATACGTTCGTTTTTAACAAGAAAATTATAAACTGCTTTCTCAGCAAGGTTAATGAAAGGCTCTATAACTGCACCTTGCTCACTGTCAGTAAAGAAAATGATTGTTTAACTCGTGGAAAAGAATTGCAAGCAGAACCATTATCATTGTCATTGCAATTGTTAGTGATGGTTGCATGTTGCCCAACAGCAGATGAATGAAACTGCATTTTTTTAAAAACCGCAAAAGGTTTTGAGTGTTTCGACTGTTTTGGTTGTTGAGACGAGGAAGTTGAGGAAGTTGACAATTTTTTATCTTCAAGCCAGCCGAACAACATGATATGTGTTGGTGATTTTTGACAAAAGACTCAATCACTATACAAAAGATTATGAAGTGAATCATATATAGACCTGTGAGAACTTCTCAATGGACAGACATCATATAGAGCATCCAAAGTAGAGTCAAGAGTATTTTTAATGTTCTTTTTGACTACTCCAAAACGTATCCACATCGAAAGTTGTTTTTTACCCATAATAATAATGAAACGTGACACATAAAGTAAAAAATAATGATGACATTCATATGATTGGCTTGATTAAGTTATACGAATCTTGTAGCAACTGAAAACTGAAATTTAGTCATGCATGACTAGAAAAAAACCCAGTTGACTAGTTGCGACTTACAATCCTCCCAGTTGACTTGCAACACTAATATAATTTCTTTTACTTTACAATTAATTTAGAAACAAAGCAAACATGCATGTCAATTCAAAATTCTCTCAGTAATAGAAAATGTTTGAATCAACCAATTAACTAATAAATAAGTTTACTAAATAATCAAAGATCTACTCGGACACATTACAAAACATTTATGATTAATGGAAAAACAGAATTGAAAATGTAAGGAGCAATTTTTCATCTTGTTCTTTCTTTAAAATACTTCTGATGGTACTATAATTCTTGGATTCCATAGTAGATCTGATGTAAATGAGTTTCATATTAACTATTTTTATCTAGACAAAATATCATGATCACATTACTATTTATCCCTGAAATTCTTAGTAATACCAATGTTCACTTTGTCTGGTTTTGTTGCAGTATGCCCCATATTATACCCAATAAAAATTTTGGTATTACAGTAACTATATCTCGTGACACGTAAATCCAAAACATTTACCACAAAAGTGAAATGAACAACAGCTGCCAAGTTTTTAACAGAAGAAGATATAGCCCAAGTATCATTGACAAAGCAAATACAACAAAGTTAGATAATAATTGACTTTCAAGGTGATCCACATGTATTTTATACCAAACCCAATATTTGAAAATAGAAATATACTAATAGAAATGCGTGTACAAGAAAATTATTCCATAATTTCAAATCAATTCATATATCATGCTGATAACGAGGCAATACATATTTACAGTACTCTTTTTTAATATCTTTGTTGAAGCAAATTCTGAACAAGCCAAGCTCGAGCCAAGAAATAATTGATGTTGCATAATTTTTTTAGATTAATTCAATTATTACCTAAAAAACAATTTAAGAACCTATTTCTTGAACTCGGCCAAAACTTGAAAATTCAAGTTTTAACTCGAGCCTGCTCAACTAGAGTTTCTATTCGAATAAGGTTTATTCGAATTATTTGAAATAAAACGAATAATTCGATGATTTGAATGTGAATGGATTAAATTAAGTTGTATTACAAATAATTCGAGAATAGAAACTCAATAATAATAAAGATTCTTTTGAGTCTCGTTTTAATTATCTGAGCAAATTTTATACAGTGAAACCTCGTTTCAACGAATTACAATTAAATTCTATGTGTCCCATAGATGAGTTAAAACTGTATGCATATATTTCAGAACCTTTATTAGAAGCACAAATATTGTTAAAACATCAAACCTTGAATTAAAATTTTCGGAATTTTTAATTGTCATAAAATTATCGAATATTAGTTATATTACTATTATTATTATTAGTTATATTCGAATTAAAAAAATTTATTCGTTTTTATCAGTTTTATTCAAATTACTGGTTTATTCGTTTTATAAAATAGACCTTATTTCTCTAACGAGATAACATAAACAATAATTATATTTATAATCTATATCACTACTATAATTGCTAGTACTATGATGTCAGGTACTACTATTTATTATTACCCTATATTCAAGGACCAAGGAAAAATAGATTGATAAAGAAAAAAAATTTTAATTGGATTGAATTATTATTATTATTATTAATATTATTCGAATTGCAAGTTTTTTCGAATCATTAATTTTATTCGAATTAAAAAATTTATTCGAATTATTAGTTTTATTCGATGCAATTCGAATACTCTAATTCATAACGAATAAAACGAATAATTCGAATAAACCTTATTTGAATAGAAGTCCCACACCAAGTATATAAAAAAAAATTCATTTTAATAATAATACAATAAAATTTATGCTAAAATTATAAATATTCGTTAAATGTAAATGTAATATATCAGATATAAGGATGCTAGCGAAACCAGCAAATTGGTTTCGTCTTATAGGCTAAACGTTTAGTCTATATGAAAAAACCAATTTACTAGTTTTT